ATACTGACACTGCCCCTTCCTATAGGCCTGCCTTTTTAGTGTTGGTTATATAAACATTTTATGTTTTAGTATTTATTTGAATGTAACTTTTTAGGAACTTGCAACTTACTCCTTATCCTCCGCCTACATGTGTCTCTGATGGTCCTTGACTTAAACCCATGTTGCCTCAACCACTTCACTATCTACGACCTCATGCCACTATTTGTCCTATAGAAATGTTTTACATATTTGATTTGAACAGAAATAAGAGAAACAAATGACAAAGGCCACCACAAGCAATTACCCAGTGTCACTTAAATTCTAATAACTCCCAGAGAAGTATTTTTTAGACAGATCTATGAATATGCAGTTAGAAAAACTCTTGTCCCACACTCTGACTTTCACCATTTATTATTTATAGCTGAGTAATCCCCAAAGCAAAATAAAAGTCTAAAAACTGGCACATACTTTTTCCCTGCCTGTTCTAATATAGGGTAATTGGAGTAGAATAAGAACTTGTGAAAGCCTGATTTCCTGTGTTTCATTAAAGGAGAACTATGTGGTTAAGGTTTTTCCCCATAGTTCTCCTTAAGGTGACGGGAGGACACAAACTAGCGTCCTCCCATCACCCAAGGCTCAGTGTACCGCGAGCTGTAGCTCGCGGTTTACTGAGATGCCGCAGTATACCGCAAGTTGCTTCTCGCGGTATACTAAGACGCCGCAGCTGAAGCGGATCCCAACAATTATGTCTGGATCCGCCCAGCTGCGTGACTTACAGCTGGCTCTACCTATCTAGAGGCAGAGCCAGCTGTACCCGCCCCCTCCCCCGTCCGTTCCGCTAATCAGCGCTGGCGGAGCGGGAAGGGGGGAATCCAGCCCCCCCATGTCACGGCAGAGAGCCGTGACAGGATCGAGAGGTGAGCGAACGCCGGTATGTGTTCGCTCACTTCCCGATCTACTGAGCCGACCTGTGACAGTTTCATTGTCACAGGTCGGCTAGAACTATGAGGTGAGTGAAAGGCACTCACCTCATAGTTCTCCTTTAACATGTAAAATATGACATATGACATTTGTTAATTACCTCTCTTGAAAGCCCCCTTCTACGTCCATAGTACCCTCGGCGGTATCTTCGCCTGTCTGCAGCATAGCGACTTCCTTGAACGGGTGCTCCTTTCGGCCCTGTTACATTAGCTGCCTCGGCGCCCTAAAATATTCAGTTTAGATTTATAAGCAGATACATTGTAAATAATATGACAGTTGTTATTAAGGGCTTTATTTATAAAAAAAAAGATTGCAGAGACATACAACCTGAGAAACTGTCATTCCTTCTATACAAATGAGGCAAAAACAAATGTTATTAGTATATTTTCTTTCCAGGTCCAATGTAATATAAGGTAAATTCAGCATTATGGGCACTAGATGGAGCTGAGGAACATAGAGAATAAATATTTATTTAATGTGATATTCTCCTCTGTTTAATTCATCCCAAAGCAGAGGCGTAAGTAGAACCTTCAGGGCCCCGGTGCGATAAACCATGAAGGCCCCCCCAACGCCATGGCACCGCATGGTTAACAGGAAGGGGTCTGCTGAGGTTCCCATCAAGCGTGGGGCCTCAGGCAGCCGCTAGTTTAAAATTTTAGTGCTGGTGTTCTGTCGAGAACGTCGACCCAGTATTTGCGCTTACGTACAGGCGGGATTGACGAGGAAACCGCCATTTATTTACAAAGTATTTGTTTGTAATGGTTAATTGTGACCGTTAATAATGTACAATCTATGTAAATGATGGATGGAATATTATTAACGGTCACAATTAACGATTTAAATGAAATACTTTGTAAATAAATCCGTTTCCTCGATAATACTGGTAAGCGCAGATGCTGAGTTTGGCAAATTCGACTACGTCGGCGTTCTCGACAGAACACCGGTATTTGCATTTAGTATCGGGGCATTATCACGAGTATGAGTAACTTTGAAAATGCCCAGTATTAACACTGGGGTATCCCTACTTAAAAATATAATACATTGCTGGGACTTGTAGTCCTACATAGTTGGAGCTATTCTGCATTGCTGTATAATCATCATACAGCAATGCAGAATACCACCAGCTATGCAGGACTACAAGTCCCAGCAATACATTGTAATAAAAATCAGCACTACGCACACACACTTCCATGCGCCCCCCCTTTGCATTCCAGACTTACCTTTCCTCTCCTGCAGGGCCCTCTTCCTCGTCTCGGCGGCCAGGGGGCAGGGCTAAGAGGAGCCTGTCTTCCCATCCGAGACTTACCTTCCCTCTTTTGTAGGGACCTCTTCCTCGTCTCAGCGGCCAGGGGGCGGGGCTAAGAGGAGAGGGTCCTCACACAGCAGAATGTGCTGCCCGGCGGTGCCCGCAGCACATTCTGAGGGACCAGTGACAGCCTCTACAGCCCCGCACAGTCGCCCGTAGATGCTGCGGGTGGCTATGCGGCAGGGAAGGAGCGGCCCTATCTTAGGGGGGGCCCTCTTCTTCCTCGCTGGGCCCCCCCAAGTGGCGGAACGCCAGGGCCCAGTCGCAATTGCAACCCTGGTAGTTCCGCCAGTGTCCCAAAGATGTTCTATCGGGTTGAGGTCAGGGCTCTGTGCAGGCCAGTCAAGTTCCTCCACCCCAAACTCGCTCATCCATGTCTTTATGGATCTTGCTTTGTACACTTGTGCGCAGTCATGTTGGTACAGGAAGGAGCCATCCCCAAACTGTTCCCACAAAGTTGGGAGCATGAAATTGTTCAAAATGTCTTGGTATGCTGATGCTACTGACTTTATGGCTGAGTTCCTGTTGTTCCCAGTTGCTTCCACTTTGTTATAATACCACTAACAGGTGACCGCGGAATATTTAGTAGCAAAGGAAATTTCACAGAATACCTCAATCCAATGATTTGGAGGAGTGTCCCAATACTTTTGGCTATATAGTGTATGTCTTGAATGATTATTACTTTTCATCATGCATTAACAAAACAAAATGGAATTTAAACAGTAAATGGTGAGTTGAGCCTTTACAAAAATATACGGGCTATAAATATTATGGGGCCATTGCAGAAAATCCTTACCTTTTCCCCAGCAACAACATCAAACTCCACCACCTCTCCATCCCCTACACTCCGCAGGTATTTGCGAGGATTGTTTTTCTTGATTGCTGTCTGTTAAACAATGAATATAACATCAATGCCAGAACTTACTGTAATATACACTCGTGAATTATCTATTCATATTTAAAATTTAATATAAAACTGACTAAACTTGATTGTGAATTCGGCAGGTACTATTAATAGGGAAGAAGAGTCTCCTAATTAATGTAGACATCTCAGACACTACACATGAAAAATAGGTTTGGTATAATTCCTAAACCATACAAATAACCAAAAAGTATCAGTACTGTTATCAGTAATGGCATTTTGAATAAAATATTGTTATTGGTAAGAATCTATGTTTATAAATATGGAAATGAAGGTTTCCAGTTTTCAAATAAAATGACATATTGCACTACATTTTCATAAATCTAAACAAAATAATAGAGGAAGAAAACAAATTACACAATAAAGCTGTCAAGTGAACACGAGGGTTTTTTTAATGGTGATCTCAGCACAAGTTAAGGATGTCTCCCTACATGCCAGAACTCAACACCGCAACATTCTTGGTCAGCACTTTGCTGTGTCAGGCAGCATGAGAAGAAACAGGTGTCATATACAAAGAAAAACAGTAATAGGCTCTGTGCCATCAATGGGAATGAATACTGCGTGGATTCTGGAGCTCTACCAAGAATGCATCCCAGCTATCCCAACCAACTCTGCTACAAGTTCTTTCTCAAGATTATATAGGCAATACAGATAGGCTTTGTTCAATATATTTTAGTGCAAGTTTCTAGTATACTTAAAATGGACCTGAACTCAAAAGGTAAAGATTTGTTTGGTTATATTAGGGGACATCTATAAATGTTATTGTGCCTTACCCTGAAAAATCTTTGTCTTAAATCTTTGCCTTGAATTTCTCCTGAAAAATAGCTTTGCACTTTATGTACCTAGGCACCCTATGCCTTTAGCCTCATAGCGGTATATCTGCACTGTAAGATCATCTAAGGTACTGCTGCCCCTGACTGCTAGTTTCATGAGATTTAGAGTGAGATTTGGTTATATCATTTCAGTGCAGAACGCTGTTCTCCTTGCTGGAGAGAGAGCTGTACCAGTGGACCTGCAGTGGAAGGGTCTCCTTGCTTCTGCTTCATTCATTCTTTGGACCTGTGCTTTTCTAACCCCTCCTGCTGCTTCTTGAATATTCCTACACCAGTTATTGGCTTTTGAGTCATCAGGGGGGGGCACCACTGACATGAGGAGGTAAGGAGCTGCCTAGACCAAAATGGCCAGCTCTACACAGAGACAGAATCAGGCTTGTTAAGTAACTAATGCAGAACAGATCAGCTGCAGGCAGGCCTAAAGGCAATACTAGTGACGAGACCTTTACCCTCTGCTTTCTTTATCTTGGGCACAGCTTCAAAGTTAGGATCCTCCTTAATTACCTTCCTCCTGATATCCATTGCTAATATGTTTTCTGCTAGAAATTAATATATAATGTAATGTATTACTTGAGCTGCTAGCCCTATGGTGTTGACTGCTTGTACACCTTCTTCATATGAAACATAAGTTTACCATGTGCACAAAATTTTACACTGACTGCTCTCATTGACCCATTAAATTACCTCGCTCTCAGGCCTTGACAACTGGATCAGTGCTTGTTCCTCTCTCAAATTACAACCTGGCAGATCTGGCAGAAACTCTGTGTTCTATTTTAGCTCATCGTTACTAAAGCCTTTGGATGACTAACCAGAAAGGATGAAGTCAGCGTCAGGAGTGACTAGTCAATCATAATCTGAACTATGAAACACTATAGAGCTTTGTGGATCACGCTTCAAATGTAAAATCTAACATCCAAAAAGGCATATTAAACATATCAAATACAATGTAAAAGGACAGTAAAATGCATAGTAGCCATTCAAAAATGATATGAATTATGACTGGTTGCCATGTGTTACTGCACTTTGAACATCACCATTGATCTTTACTTTATTTTACTGAATAAGCTTAATAGAGTTGTATTCCAAGGTGTATTCCAATTATTCATTGCAATCATAAAAATACTATGTTAAATCAAAGTATCCTGTAATAAATAATCTAATACAAATATGTTTGTGCTGCCACAAGCAGCATGCTTTATTGCTGTTTATTATTATGTGGAGTTCTAATATCAGTGTATTAGGAGGGCTTTTATGAGGAAGAAAAAAGCTTTAGGAAAGAAATATTTTTCTGCTTCTGAGAGACAAGGAATTGCATCATTTGTATATGCAGGCCCAAATAAACTACATTAGAGTCTTCCTGGTGAGTTGGGCACTATCTGGGGATCTGTTTGAGTCTGCAAGATACCATACTGACAGACTGGATCTCAGGAGGTATGTCTTTTTTACAAAGTGACACTTGAGATAAAACATTATGATTAACATTACGGTTGCTTTGTAAAAGTAGGATAGAAAAAAATGTCTGAATTTCATGTCAACCATTCAGATTGAAGTTGTCATTCCTCTACTGTAGGTTATAAAGAAACAAGAGCAGTAAAGTGATAATTTTCTTTGGGCACCAAAGGCACACTTCTATCCTCCACTAAATATACATTTGCTCAACAGGTATAAAAAAAAAAAACAGGTATAAAAAAAATATTAGTGCTAACATTAATGCATGAGATCTGGTATGGATACCGTAACTACAAGTATTACGCTCTTACCTGGTGGACAAAGACATCTTCTTTAGTGTCATTCCTATAATGATAATAATATGTAGAATATTAATAATAAATAAAAAAATATGAATCTAATGCATTCTGAACTGCCCATCTGCTTTCAAGAACATATAATGTCAGGACATTTCAATTTTTTCAGGACAGCATAGTTAAATTAATTCAATACTTTATTAGCAAAGAAATATAGTGAAGAAGTCATAAACATGCATTTAGCTTTACCTATGAGGATAGGGACATGGACAATGTCATTGCTGAGTTGTTATTATAGGTTTTCAAGCTTGTCATCCTGATCATAGCTTCTCTCGTTCCGTAAGGGTCCCCCAAAGCTCTGTCCTTGGACCCCTTCTCTATCTACACCTCTTCCCTTGGCCAGTTGATAACATTGAATGGCTTCCAATACCATCTCTAGGCCAATAGCACTCAAATATATCTCTCCACTCCACAAATCTCCCCTTCACTAATTTACTAACTGACACATCATCTGGATGTCACAACACTTCTTAAAACTCAATCTTTCAAAAGCTGAGCTAAAGATAAAAGAATAAAATCGCCTAAAGAATAAAATTCAAAATATTAACAAACACTTACAAAGCCCCCGGCTATATATCCAATCTTATCTCAAAGTATCACCCTAACCATCCCCTCCGCTCCCCATAAGACTTCCTGCTGTCTAGCTCCCTCGTCAACTTCTCCGATGCTCGCCTTCAGGATTTCTCTAGAGTCTCTCCCATTCTTTGGAACTCCCTACACCAACCTGTCCATCTATCTCCTACTCTGCCTTTAGGTGATCCCTTAAGACTCACCTCTTCAGGGAAGCCTATCTCACCTCAATCTAACCACTGAACTATAACTTTCTCAAACAATTCATCCCCACGGAGCTACCACCTATTGTATCACTTGCCCCTCCCTTTTAGATTGTAATCTCTCATGGGCAGGGCCCCCCTTACCATCTTGTCTTGATTTTGTATTGTAACCATAAGGTCTTACTTATATTGTAAAGCTTTGCGCACACTGATAGCGCTAAATCCTGTATAATAATAATAATAATAATCATCATCATCAAAATAGTGAATCAGTGACTTGAAACAAGCATAGGACCAGAAAGGACATGAAAGTGTGAACTTCTGTGCTGCCTACTTTTTTAAGGCCAGTGGCTGACATTATGGGGGTGATTTACTAACCTAAACACACGCACGCACCAGGTGCGTGTGATTTTCACACAGCAAAACGTATTTATCAACCAAAAAGTCTCTAAAAGCATATTTCCACGAATGCCATATATGGAAAAATCATGCACATGATGCATATATAATGCTGCTTCACAGTTTAGACAAAAATGGTTAGCTCATGCATTTACATTCCTGCATTCATCAACGCAAGCAACACAACATAGAGCTAACTTACACAACATCACCTTGCAAATTCATGCTTGGCTTTGCACAACACACCTGCTGGGTGTGTACACACTACAAAGGTGTTTAGATTCCACCCATAGATCATGCTGGGAGGGAACACACTACAGAGGTGTATACATGTTCGTGTTGTGTTTATAAGGTTAGTAAATCAACCCCTATGAGTAGACATGTGCGATTCGTTTCGTTCCGAATCGAAATTCGGGCCCAATTTCAAAAATTCGAAGATTCGCATGTATCCGAATTCCGAATTACAGATATAACGAATGCAAACGAATACGAATTTCCGATTCTTTTTTTTGGATGAAATTTCTTTGCAGCAAAGTGACATTTGAGAACAAAAAAATCTTTATTTTCCTATTAAATGTCACTTTGCTGCATCGAACGAACAAAACGAAAACGAAACGAAATTTCGTACGGAGTTCCGCTAACAAATTTGGTTTGAATCCGAATTCCGAAACGAATTGACTTTCGGACCCGAATTCCGAAAAACGAAAATAAAGCTAAATCCAAATCAAAACGAAACAAATGTTTTGCTGGTGCACATGTCCAATTATGAGAACTCCTCTTTGAACATTCTAGTTACCCATCCCTTGCACTGACCCAAGAGCTGCAGTTTTGACTTCATGTTGACTTTCTAGGCTGCACCCTTGTTTGGGGTCAGTAAGTCAGAAAACAATGAAACCACAGACAGCCAGGCAACTAACATTGTAAGAAGTAGGTCAACAGTGGCATGCTACCTATTCCTCTCAGTACAGATTTCCTTTCACAAGTGGCCATAAACTTTAGTATCCGCAACCTACAATACAAATTCAGTCTACCCAAAACTGATGTTTAATAAATTGGCTGCCAACTGGTTGAAGGACCCTCCAGCTTCTTATTTACTGGCAGTAAGTTCTTTGTATGCAATGTCCCAGGTCGCACCAACTTGCAGTAGTTATGAAAAGGAGGTCTTATGTCTCCTGCTGAATTTTTTTAACACCTTAAACTACATAGAAAAAAAATGAGGCTTTATGGGTGACAGAGTAGAAATGGGAACTCACTGAGAGAAATATGTGATCTACCCTGAGTGAATTAGTCAACCAGCAATCATTCAATATTAATTAAAAATCTTTACTGAAATAGAATAGCATAGCACAATTTTGTCTGCAAATTTGCTATTTCAAAACTTACCGATTGATGAATCCGTAGCCATTTCTCACATTGAACCATTTCACTGTTCCTTGTACTTTGGTTGCTAGAAAAAACATGATTATTTTTGAGTCGGTAATAAAATAATACTTTTTCTGTTGCATCCTGACAATTACATTTCCAGCTGTATGTGTCAAAAAGTCTAAATGATAAAGCTGTCTGTTTACAACAACCAGTTATGGCCCTTCTAGATTGTAATTTCTTATGGGCAGTGCCTTCCTTACCATCTTGTCTTGATTTTGTATTGTAACCATAAGGTCTTACTTATATTGTAAACCTTTGCGCAAACTGTTGCCGCTATATAAATCCTGTATTATAATAATAATAGTGTATCAGTGACTTGAAACAAGCATGCAACCAGAAAGGACATGAAAGTGTGAATTCCTGTGCTGCCTACTTGTTTAAGGCCAGTGGCTGACATTATGATCTCTCCTCTTGAACATTCCAGTTCATCCCTTGCACTGACCCAATAGCTTCAATACTTTCTGATTAGCAGTTCTGGTTGTGCATTTGGTTGTTTGGTATGTAAAGAAATGATTCCTGAAATGAGGAACAATTCTCTTGTTTTTGGGATATATGATGGAATGATAGATGAATATCTTCTTTTTAAAGAAGGATTTATTGTGCGACTCACTGATTCGACTGGAGGTCTTTTTGGTTCCTGTAGCCCCTTTTCACCACAACCTGTATAGTTACACTGCCTTGTTGGGTCCTAGGTCCTACTCCATAGAAGTTGGGGTTTCCATACACTATGGGGTCTATTCACAAAGCTGCCGAGGGCAGCCAAGTGAATGACCAATCAGAAGTGAAGTGAGCCGAACACTGTTCGGCTATTCACTTCAGGCTGGTACGGCTGATTTCAGCCGTACATCGGCTGAAATCAGCCGTACATCTTGATGGCCAAAAACCTGAAATAGCTATATGCAGCTTGGAATAAATAGTGATATATGATTAGACTATATGATATATGTGATATATGATTAGATTATATTTGCACTATATACCAGTGGTTCTGTATGTGCATTTATCTATCTGGGGCGTTAAGGAATGATTTTCATGGATTTGCCCACTGTCCTGAAATTAGGAATAATCCTCTTATTTTTTGAATATGTGATGGAATGAGACATGTGAATACTTTCTTTTTTAAAACTTTACTGTGCTACGTACTAAATGAAAATTCAGTAAGTCCCTCTTGTAATGGCCAAGACAGATAGGAGCACCTGGAACAACAGGCATTGGCATATTTCCAAAAAAGTCCACAACAGTTTGTACTGGTAATTCTAATGTCCACCTTTACTCTTTGGATTTCACATACAGGTGAAACTCGAATAATTAGAATATTGTGCAAAGTTCATTTATTTCACTAATGCAACTTAAAAGGTGAAACTAATATATGAGATAGACTCATTACATGCAAAGCAAGATAGTTCAAGCCGTGATTTGTCATAATTGTGATGATTATGGCTTACAGCTCATGAAAACCCCAAGAACCCCAAATCCACAACCTCAAAAAAGTAGATTATTACATGCAATCAATAAAACAAGGATTGTACATAGAACAATATCGGACCTCTGAAAAGTACAAGCATGCATATGTACTCAGTACTTGGTTTGGGCCCCTTTTGCAGCACTTACTGCAATTACTTTTGCATGATATTCTAATTATTCGAGTTTCACCTGTATAAAACTGTCCTAAAATACATCGAGCTGGATGACATTTAGTTTGCTATAGCACTATGTATTCTAAACACTTATTTAAACCATTTTTATTTAATCTAAGAAAATACCGTATACCACGTTCTCACCAGGTATTTTTCTATTTTGTATTTTAGCGCCTCTGATCTCCTCCAGCTTTTTAAGCCACTTTTTGCCAACGTGCACTTATACCAGCATCACCCTTTCACATTATTGCCTTGAACTGCTCAGATAGTAACAATGATGGACCATGCCAGCGCAATGTGCGTCAGCATGGCCACTTGTGGGCTCCATGGAAACGAATGAGACAGGATGACAATGAAAAAGAGCAATCAGGAGACAGTCATAGGGTGTTGTCACCCTATAATAGGAAGTGCCTAAACAAGAACCTTCATCACAGGATCACCAGATATTATTTAATGGAATCTGCAGATGAATGAACTTACACTATCAAGTAAAAAGTTTATATAAGATTTGAAAATTGGGTTTACATATATTATAAGGATGAACTGCCTGTAGTGCCCACAAATGTAATATGAAGGGGTCATTGTGTTTTCATCCTTTTTGAAGATAATCTGTACTGGTTTGTCTCAGCTGTAGGGTACTGTGATTAACTATTTTGGAAGTTTGTCCTATGCAAAGAGTTGTGAAGGTCTGCAAAAACAAAAAGTGCATACAAGATCATTGGGTATTTTTATACAGAGGGAAACTTTGTCATAGAATATGGGCACAGATGAACAGACGTAGAATCAGCAAGGACAAAAATAGACCATGACTGGAACATTAGGCAGTGTACAGCAGTGAGAACCAGGAAGGAATGAAAGACTCAGATTGATTTTAACTCCATTATAAGTTACCATCACAGAACAATATTTTTACTCACCCAGTACTTTCCTCTCTACTTCATCTGTACCAGACGGAGCTGTGTTTGGTTCACTCCCAGCAGCCTTGGGTTTTGGTTCTTCAGCTGTTACTTCACTCATGGCTGCAATTCCTTACTGTTCTTATATTCCCTGCTATATGGTGTTAGGAGATAAGGGGGGAGAGGCAGGGAGGATTGCAGATGGTATTTCGAGGGATCTCAATCCTCGAGTTTACTTGTTCTCTTCTTCTTTATGATCTTACTGCCCTAAAAATGGCCTTGCAAGACCTTTTATATGGAGAGCTTTCTACTCCGCCTCCTGTCTTAAAGTGGCATGCTGCATACTTACTCACACTTCATGCTGCCTTCAACAGCCTTCTACTCACGCTGCACATTTTAGAATTAGCTAATTCATTTGAGTAAAACTATGAAACTAATGAAAATAATAAATTATTTTCTGTATCTCATAGCAGCCAGAAATCGACTTACCATAGTCTAACTACACTAAACTGTTGGAAGAAAAGTATTTGACTAGTATTTATTTTCAGTCACATTATTTTTACTTCTTTATAACCCTTAACAGGTATTATCTTAAAGAGAAGCAACATTGTGTAAACTGTGCCCAAGCGGAGAACAAAGGACTAGTCACCACTATATCCTGTAGGCTCCCTGTAGCTGATCTTTTCCACATTAGTGAGTTACCATTTCTTGTTCTGTATCTAAGTGGGGACAGGCATCATCTAGGCCCTTTGGCATTCATTGTGTGTCCTTCAGGGACCCTGTAAACAGTAGCAAGTGTTTTCCTTCTTAAGTGTCTAGTTACTTACTCAGGCCTCTGAAGGAATCTTCTTTAAATTGGACTTTCATGGTTAAATGATTTGGTTTATTTCTTTCATACTATCTTTTTTTTTTTCTGTCCAGTTAATACCTTTTATCTTTGTTCCTTTTTTAATGTGTGGCACCTGTATATTTTAAGGGTTGCTGAAGGAAACACAGATGTGGGGCTGTAATAGCAGTGACCTCTAGCAGTCCCACATAATGTGTTTCCAGTCCATTACTGTCTCTTGAACCATGACTTCAGTCTCCAGCAATTTCTACATAATATCTGCAATCTCTGACTATCTCGTTCAGCATATCTGCAGTCTCTGGCAGCTTTCTGTAGTATTATGTGTGGCCTTTGGTGATATCAAGGGCAGCACTTGAGGCCCCCTGTACCATGAAAGTTGAGCACCACTGATTTAGAGACAGGGCTTTGCTTCATGCCAGAGGTGCCACCCTGAGCACTAGAGGTGTAATAAAGCAGGAGAGGTACAGAAAGCACTAATCCACAAAATGAAAGGCGCAGAGGCAGAGAGATACTTGTGCTGCAGGTCTCCACGTACAGATTCCTCTCCAGCAAGAAGAACAGTGACCAGTACAGTAGTGATATAACCAAATCTCATAAGACTAGCAGTCACAGGCATAGTGCCTAACATGATCTCACAACTGCAGATATACAGCTTTGAGGCTCTTTGCACAGGTGTTCCTAGACACAGGAAGTGCACTGGTAAATCTTTAACTTCTTACCTTTCCTCTGTCATTTATAGGTACAACTTTTAATATGATTAAAATCTTAATGAAATGTATGTAAACTGGCCAGATACCCAACATGTTACACTGACTCTATTTACCCCAAGATTACTTGTATCTGGAGCCTTTAGACTTAAAGTGTGTCTAAACCCAGAAACAATAAGTGAGTCACTAGTGTGAATGTTCTGCCAACAGCACCAGACCGAATGCTAAACATGTTTTAATCTGCACTAGAAAAATATTGCCATGTGATTGGTCGTCATAGTAAGTTCCACTTTTAATGCTTAAGCACAAATGTGTCAGAAATAAAAAAATATTGATAAAAACATTTACCTTTGCAATCTTTTCGACCTTGGCCTAAACTTTGTAACATTGCCTCTTTTCTCACTCTTTGTTTTTCATCTAAATAGCTTATGATCTTGGCAAGTAAATATCTATGGCAAATGTCTGGTAAGGCAGTACAGTTAATTTACAAATATCAATACTGTGATCATTTACATGTCAAACAACACTGCTGAGAGGCTCGATAGTATTTAAATAAAATGCATAACATGCAAATATGCTCAATATTACCTACAGCATGTACTTTCTCTTTCTAGTTTTCTTTATCTTTGTTTGTAATGTCACTGAACTTGAGGCCCATGGCTGAATTTATTAAGTGATAATGTCCTTGTCATGCCTTGTTCTTGAAAAATGCCTGAAATGTCATAGGAGAAAAAAGGAACCATGTTTTATTTCCTGACAGAAAGAAAAGGTTTTCCTTTAGGGCTCTTTTACACTATATGCGTGACTGGCATTCTTCAGCAACTGAACATCAGTCACCACTAGTTTTCTATGTGCCCCATTTACGCCACAGTGTGGCTATGACATGCCATGTGGTGCGAAAAAATAGATATGCCACACCACAGGTCATTGTATACTTTATATTAACCCAACTGTACAGCGCTAAGAAACCACCAAACCCAAAATTAAATAAATTAAATTGATAAATAAATTAGGTAGATTGTAAACTAATCAATAGTGACAAATGGTGAAAAATATGTGAAAATTATATGAAAAATATTTTACATAATAATGTAAATATAAATTCATGCCTTGATTGATGTAAAAATCATAATTCACACAGTGAAAAAAATCTTAATATTGTAAAATATAATGGTTATTTCTATAAAAGTTCATGTGATGAATTCACTAAATCAAAACAGTTTTTCATTCCACATCCCCTGTGAAAAAAAGAGATGATCAATCCACAAGTGAAAAACGAGTGTCCAAATGGTGCTTAATTATACTTTGTGATCTCCTCGTGCCAAGCAATCACCCCCTTATGAGTATGCACTCACCGCATACATTTGGCTGCGAACTGACAGCCGATATTCGTTTAAGTGTTTAAATGGATCTTAGCATCCTCCTTCCTGGAACTCCCCTCGTTCATCACAGATACCCACTTGTTCATAAAGTGTAAATAAAATTCCTGCCAAACAAACATAACATTTTCACAGGTCTCACTATACCTCTAGTGCAGCAGCCTGGGAGGTCTGTGTTTCACAGTCTCTCTCCACTGACTGAAACATGCTTCTATTGCAGTGACAGGTAATTGCTGCCATTGCTACCTTGTCAGCTATTCAATCACTTTTTGTGAAATGGGAGTTGAGAATGAAATCAGAACCTAAGTTTTACTTCTTGTATACTAAGGTTGGTTGGAGCGGTCATGTGGTCCTCACCACCTTTGTAAAACACGATATTACATTTGGTCTATACTACAGTTGTCAGTGCTGTTAACTTTCTATCTACAGACAGCTGCAACACTGTCTGTAGATAGCCTCCCCACCCCCAGGGCATGTATATATATATTACATACCCACACTGCTGGAGCCTTCTCTAATAGTAAAAGCCTTTCAGGTTTGGAAGGAGGACATGACCACCCCTATGTAACAGTGCTCAGGCCAACCACCAGACTCAGACAACATGACTTAACCCCTCTATCTAGGCTTCAACACCAGTCAACACTGGAACCTGAACAGCTGGGGATGCTGCAGATGGGATAAGGGAAGGGAGTGTGGCCGGTTGAGTACGCATGTCTGGAGTGGTGGGCTATTTGTAGACACTGTTAGTCTGCTGGATGGTCAAAGTTACACAGTGTCTCTTTAACAAAATCCACAATCAAAAGCAGATAGGAAAGCCGACTGCAGTTAAAACATCCCTTTAACACGGTATAATTATATAAAACGCCTATTAAATCCAACAGGAATTAACTGAATGTTTAGTGTTATCTATGTTATTTCAGAACAAAAACACACACAATAGATCATTTGTTGTGTATTTTAATCATAAAACACACAAAAAAGGCAACAAAGTGAAACAGATATTATGGCACTTTTGGTTTGGGTTTATAAGCTTTTGTGGCCGGGTCCGACATTACAAAGAAAAAAACCCCACAGTTTAAGACCTCCAAACAACATTGAATAAAATGATCTTTCCTTTTTATTACTGGTATTTAGGTCTACGTTTATACAATATGTTCAACCATTAGTAATTCAGTTACAGTTTTAGAAACTAGTGGCGTGGTGTGCACTGTATGCTACATCGGTACCACAACATAAGCACTCCTGGCGTTTAGTATTCTCAGCTAGAGAGTCTCTCCTTTTTAGACATCACAGATGGGACTTCTGAGGGACTGGTCCATACCATTTTTCACCTTAAAATTAAAAAAAGAAACATGCTGTATAACAGGAAAACCTTCAATTACATACAATTAATGGGTTAATCCATCTCAAAGTAATATTTTATCTACGTTTTGGTGGAGACACTGCTGGCTTTCAGAAGCTGAGACATCGCTCCAGGAGTTACTGTCTTGTCCCTCAATCCAATAACTAAGCATGAAATTAAAGGGTAAGCTCATAAAATAAAACGAGATATTTATTCATGTGTGGACAATGGTGGGCTGAATCATTCACTGGCTTCTTAAATCATGTGGGAAAACCTACAGTATGATCTTCCAGATGGAGCTCCCAACTCTGCCTTCAAATGCCACATGTGCTCAAGGTTCCTCCACTATTCTCAGTATTGTGAACAGGAGACTAACTTCTAATGGTCTTAGAGGGTGGATGGATCTTTTAATGCAGTTTAATTAATCACAAACATATTTTGCTTTCCTTATATAACCTGCACAAGGCAAATACAAGTTATATAATTATTAAAAGATGAGGGCATATAAACCAGCTCCACTGTAATATACAGGTTCTGTTGCTGTTCAGGCCTCTGCTGTGTGCTCTTGGACCTTAAGGTGCCCATACACCTTACAACCATCGCAAGACTTTTGTCTTGCAATGGTTGTAAGTCAATTAAAAGCTCGTACGATCTGCCCATCTTGGACAGGCAGATCGTACTTGCGATCATCGAAAGCCCGCCCCACTGAGGGGCAGGCTTTTTCTATGACCGCAATGCTGAATGGGCAGCATTAGAAATTAGAGCGCCTGTCTGTTTTTTACTGTTACCTGGGGCTCTGTTAAAGGGATTTACCCTCACTTCCTGTCCCACTGACAATGGTTTTACCAGACTGGTAGTGAAGGAAATCTGCGGCAGGAACAAAGCTAAAATATAAATTTGACTGGGTTTCTAGCCTTCCCCCTACTCTTCTTCTGTCTGTGTTGTCAGTAGAACAGGAAGTAAGGGTAAGTCTTTTTAACACTTCCTCACTCTATGCAAAACTAAGAAGAAAAGTTTTGGTTGGACATACATGTTAAGAATATGTAAACATTTTAAGCTTACACCACATTGTTCTCAAAAAATGTAAATGTACCACACCAGCACGCTGTTTAAAATATGTGCTTTAAGCAAGATCTCCGGAATTTTTAAAAATGACCCCTTGCAGTGGAGCTTCCCCTGCACTGCAAGAATTAAATGCTTGGTTTGTCTAAAGAAGCAAATATAAAAAAATGAAGAAATACTCACCTGCTCCTTGGTGCAGCCCGGCTGCTACACTGGTCCCTGCAGCCTCCTCTCCTCCGGCTGGAGCCGAGGGGGAGAAAGGTGAGCGGTCACTGCCGCAGGTCCAAGAGACAGGATAGTATATCTTCTTTAGACCAAAGACCAAAACAAGTAGTTAAACCTGGCAGAGCAGAGGTAGTCCCACTGCAAGGGTTAACTTTTACAGATCCTGGAGTTATTCTTTAACAAAGCTATACTGAGATAGAAATGGGCACACCAGCCTTTGGTCCTTCCCTGGCTGCACAACCCTGATATGCTCTGCCTAACAGTGATAAAATACCTGTCTGTGGAAGTAGACTGACTAAAAACCAGCAGGTTTACGGCTACTGAACTGGTAAGAGAGATGCAGATTGCTGAACGATCAGAAAAAGTCTGCACAAGGCTATAAAAAGCATTATTTGTGGCTTTATTTACACTGCTGATCACAACCAGCACTTCCAGTTGTATGTATTTTTAGCATAAAATGTTTAGATACCCACCTAGCTTATGTGCTAAAAGTTCAAAGCGATCAGATCCAAAATACAGCTGCGGCTTTCCGTTTATGTGAGCCACAATAGAAGGCATACCAAACACCTGCCAGGAAAACACAAAAAGGGAAAATGAATGAGAACATATTTTACTAGTTTACAATGTTACTATACGCTTGCTTTCTGCGTCCTTGCAAGTAACATCTGACAGCCATTACGCAAGCTTACCCCATACTTTAAAGCACTCTCAGTGGTCTCCTTGAGTTTGTTCTTAACCTCTGGTGAAGATATGGTGGCCAGAACTTTTTTAGCAACATCCTCTGGCATTCCTGCTTTTTTAGCAGCCTAAAAGAGACATACATATATTATTTTGCCCAATACAGTCCCAACGCCAATATTATTCTTAGACACAATAAATATTGCGGAAACAGTTTGCATGGCGCTCTGCAAAGTAAAGAGAGACATTACAGTTACAATACAAGAGTGTTAGCAGGACCCAGCTCGTGAGAGCTTACAATCTAAAATGGAGGGGCAAGTGATACAAAGGGTAATAATAACTGTGGGGGATGAGCTGATGGGGAAAGCAAAAGTCTAGTCTTTAGGTGGCAAGATAGGATTCCCTGAAGTGATGAGTTTTCCTGAAGTGATGAGTTTTCTGGGATCACCATAAGACAGATAGAGTGGATAAGTAATTACACAGTATGGCATCATTTTAATGTTGGGGCCCCACGGTACTTTTTAGATGATACATATTTTCATAGAATGCGATTAATGTTTATATTTTATTTACATTGTGTTTTTTCCAGATCTTAGATCTGTATATACAACCGCAATAGTAAAATACTAGTGACAACGGTGGACTATGCCTACACAATACATGTTGACACGACCACTTATATTTTCCAACGGGCTCATGTGACATGGTGATGACACTGGCGTACAATTGGGAGACAATTGCCACTGTATAAAATCACCCCACACAAGAAGCACTGAATTAAGATCCCTTAAAGCAGGATCTTCTAGTATTCTATAAATTAAATGTGATATTTAGAAAAACTTGAACACATATATTTAACATCAACATATTAATGCATATATGAGATTTTAATGATTGTCAAGTTTTATTAAACATTTAAATAACTCACATTGAAGAAGAAATCTGGGCAAAACTTTTATTAACCCTTCCAATGGGGCTACCTCTGCACTGCAGGGATTAAATGCTTGTTTTCTCTAGGTTAAAAAAAAAAAAGTTAAACTCTACCTAACCACTGACATGGCTCCTTACTTTGTCTGGTCAGCATTGGAATGTTCCTCACGTCTATACACAGTGTATAGAACGTGATGGTTTGCAGGACCTTAGACCCCTGCAGCTGAGGAAAAGAGAGGCTGGAAGGACCGGTCCAAGAGCAAGCCGGTTCTATGGTTCAGATTAGTATAACTTATTTTTTAGCACCTAGACAGAAACGAGCAATTAACCCTTGCAGTGCAGGGGTAGTCCAACTGCAAGGGTTAATAAAATTTTTGACTATTGAGGAATAAGTATTGGTAGACACTGAACTTTCTTCTGAAGCACTGGCAAATACATTTAATCTGGCACTGGATTTTCTTGTAAAACACTGAGAAAGACATTTGATTTTTTTTTTTCACTGTATCATATTGCTTTTTTTTTGTGGATATATTTACTGAGATAGATATGATTTTATTTTAAGTTTGTTTTGTCTCGAACAGTTTATCACTTTAGGTGGATTTAACTCTATATCACTTTAGAGTGACAGCTGTCAGACTGATATCTTTAATACAGATATTATACACAGCACGTTTTAGAAGGGGAGTAATATTAGTAGTAGTAGAAAGAATGTTGCAACACCGGCACAATGTCAAAATCACTCTCGTTTTGCTACCAGCTACTGTTGACACCTGACTATGAGTCTTCCCTACCGTTCATTGAGGGTTGGAACTGGAAATTTCCTTCTCGTCATATGAAAAAAATAGACTAATATTGCTTTCCCTGAAGTCGTCCATTAGCAGTAGATATCAGGAATCGGGATATAAAATTCTTACTAGGTGGTACCGCACCCCCGAGAGGCTGCGGGCGATTTTCCCTGATACGAATGGTGCTTGCTGGCGCTGTGGCTCCTCCCCGGCAGGCATGCTGCATGTCTTTTGGTCGTGCCCAAAACTACAATCATTCTGGACCCAAGTACACATGATCACTCAAAAATTCACTGACAACCAGATTCCCATGGCTCCCTCATTCTTTCTATTACATCACAACACTCACTCCCTGAAGGGTTACAGAAAGTCGGTCGTTATCCACCTGGTTTCCACCATGCACGGGCTTGCATCCCGGCCATGTGGAAAACAGCCCCACCACCCACGCTGCAACTCTGGCTCAGCAAGATCCGAGACATTAGACACATGGAAGTTTGTTTTTGTTTTGCCGAGACAAACTCATGGAGGAGCGGTCTAGGCACCACCTTCACCTAGGGGAGGGGAAAAGACCCTCTCCTCCTCTAGTGATCTCTGTGGATGATTAGCAACATCAAGCACACTTGCATGACCTCCCCAGAGTTGGATGGTAGCAGTTGAACACGGGCTGCTTTGTTCTCTAGGAGGCTTTTATGTTGACACATGTTCCTCAGGGGTGTTGCAATTTAACATATTTTGTATTGTTTTACAGTATATATGATCGGTGGCTGTGTCCACTGCCTTTCCGATGGGAGTTGTATCCCCGGTTTACTACCCACGTGTACCTTTTATGTATGTTTGAAAAAATTGTCAAATAAAGAATTTATTTAAAAAAAAATATTAGTAGTAGTAACAACTATGATGATGATAATAATAAATCAGTCATTACCTCCAGTATGCTCTCTGGTTCTGTAATATCTTTATCCTGTAAAACAATAACCTTGTATAAGTGCTGGTACACCATATAGACTCTACACACTACACAAGTAAAATGCAGTATACAAACAAAAATAGGCACATGAAGCAGAACTGACCTCAGACCAGATCCGCCTCCAAAGCTCCCTTGAAACCGGTTCTACGAATTCAGGATGCACCAATTGAACGGCAGTGACAAAGCGCATGGCTGAGAGACTTCCTGTAAAATGGATGATGTTACTAGAAGAAGAAGAGTGCAAAGGAATAAAGAAGTACATTTATTATGTGAATAGAAATCTGTGCTGCAATTAAACTCTAATAGAATATTCAGTGACATAAATCAATGCAGCTGTTCAATAACATATAAATGCTTATTAGAATGGACTTCTAGTACATCCAAAAACAGCACAGAGTCACCCTTTCTTTCTTCTCCCACTGAACCATTTAGCAAAGAAAACAGGTACTTCTGAGTATGAAGACGCACACAACACTTCTCTGGGTGACTGGTCCAGTGTCATTTCATGTGGTATCTTCAGTTTTATATTTATATTACCCTGTCCCTTGCACCACTTTCCATAATTCTTCACTTTGCCGTTTCCAATGATATTTGTGATATCTTGTTCGCATTCTATCCAGAAACAGCGACCGAGGAGGAGGCGGGACCCAGCAGTGGAGAAGGCTGACAGAGGATCGGGGCTGACCGGTAGGATGTGTGCAGGGGTAAGACCAGCCCACCTGAGACCCTGCAGAGCCCCTCATAGAGAGCCTATTGTGGACTCTGAAGGCTCACTCTCAGTTGGGCTGTGTGGGATCTCAGGTGGGCTCTGCAAGGGGCATAAAGATAAATCACAGGGCCCCATACAAAATTTTGCTAGGAGGCCCTGTGATTTCTAGTTATGCCCCTGGAATGCGCAAACTGCTGTACAAGAGGTAACCTGATTATATGCAAAGTCCGAGATGCCAAAGGTAATATGCAACATGCATGCAAACAAAAATGCAGTATTTGCACAAAGTCAGAGACACAGCGAAGGACTAACCTTTTTTAATAACAACTTGAAAGAAGTCACCGGGTTGTTTCAGAGGAACCTGGTAATATTCTGATAGTCTCTCCATATCCTGTGCCATGTATGCTCCTTTTTTGGGAACCATTGCAGGTGGAGAGTTACCTATAATAATTAAAAAAAAAAAAATGTTACAACCTATATCATTATTCCAGGGTCACACAAAATCTCAGGAGCTAGATAGGTAATGCAGCATTAAAGTTGGTGACCAAATCTTTAAATGGGTTTTCCACCTTCACCTCTAACAGAGAAACCCATGCTCCTAGATAGGGCCACCTTGTTCAGACCCACGCCATGGGCTTTCGAGATCTGAGATAAATTGAACCAAAGGTTGAAAAAGCAGATCCAAACTCTCAAACGCAGCATTAGTACTACGCGCAAATGGGGCTGTTTTTAGCAATAAAGATGAATGTGGAAACCAAAAGCCATTTCTATCATCATAGAAGGGCAAGCTGTTTAAATAAAGTTGAAAATAAAAATGGTAAAAAGGTAACAAAGGGGTAACCCAATAAAAAGCATACATCTTGTCCTAAGGTGGTTACGCTCATTCCTCCACTGTATCTATGGAGGGAGCCATGCTTACCAACCTTCATCTCCACTACCTGAGGAGTGAAGTGATTAGAAGTTTACAAAAGACAAGACTCCTCTCTACACTACTATTGCTAGCGCTGTTCTCTCCAATTGCAGCTAACTTTTGGAGTGCCACATCAGAACCCCCCTGCATTTAACATTGCAGGGATTGCCTGGAAGTGACCTTCAGGCACTGGGTTTTACCTGGGGCACTTTCCATACTCCATTCTGGTAGCAAATTTGCTGCCAAGTGTTTTCCAGGTACAAAGTCGCAGACTTTACCTCAACACTTGCATTGGCTGTGAAGACTCACTTTTTAAATGGGCCAGTTAGGCCGAGCCCTGTAAGCTAGCTCAACTACACAGGCCTCCTTTAAGATTCAAATTTTTCCACAAGTTCACTGTGGAAAGGGATAACATTGTGGGACCGAGTGCTGATATCATCCACTGGGTGGAGTGTCGCATGCTCTCCCCACTCGCTTTCCTGTCATACTGCATTGAGGAAGTATCTCCCCACTGCTGCTTGAACTTGAAGAGAGCCATGCAGAACGCTGATCTGTTTCTGCTGATCTGTTTCTGCTGATGAGTTTGGTCACTTCTGGTCTTCTGACTCTCACCTGCTACCAGCTGTCCTGGTTTTGCCAGTAACTGAGGCCTTGCCTCTTACCCTACACACTGCTTTACCACCATGCAGTCACATGCCGGGGGCGTGTTAAGTCAGACAGTTCTGCTGTACCGAGTGCAATCAGCTCACACTCTGCTAACAAGTCCAGTGCTGCATGCAGTACATCAGCTGATACACTTGAAGTCTACAGCCTGAAATCCTGCTGTATCCCTCTGCTCCTGGAATCTATATTGTCTTTAGAGTCTTCCTTAGCTCTGTCAGGTATTGGTTGGCTCTTCTGCCCTCTCAACTGAAGTTTTTACTAGAGTCATGCAAGACTTGGGGCCAAATCACCTGGTTTTTAGCTGACTTACTGCAAAGGCCAGATGCATGATCCCGTGCCTTCCCCTGTAGATTCTGTGTCTGATCTATCCATGGCCTTGGTGGCCTCTGAGCCATCAGTTGCTGAGACTCTTTCTGATTCCGAGTCAATCTAGTCTTCAGTGCTTCCAAATATGAGCTTGCTTCCATATAGTCGCAGTGTTCTGTCAGCTTTTATTGAAGCACTGCATGCCACTCTAAAACTAGAAGGTCAGCCTGTTGATTCTACCAGTGCTATTCTCAGCCTCGAGTCCTTTAGAACCCCTAAGACCGCAAAGACATTTGCAGTTTACTTGCTGTTCCAAGTCCTCACTTACAGGGATTGGAAATACTCTGTTAAGATGTCTGTTCCCACATGAGCTTGTAAGCCTTGTACCCCTGTGTAGAGGACTTTGTAAAAACTGGTTTGCCCCCACTGCGCATCTAGCAGTGTCATACCCTAACAAAGTGATCACCATACTGGTGAAGGATGCACCTATGTTTAGAACCCAACCAATAAAAGGTTGGAAGCACTCTCTAGAGCTGTTGTTACTAGCAGGCCCTGCTCTTCACTCAATCTTGGCTGTGACCTTGCTTTGCCAGACCCTAGCTGATTGGTCAAAGTCCCTTTAAAGAGATGTTGTGATTAATGTGGTTGATCCATTGGTCATAGAAAAGTTGGAACAAATTACTGTAGCTTTAAGCTACAGTTAGAATAGGCTGTTGACATTTTTTCATCTCATTTCCTCCACAGGCCTTCCATCCATACATATGCAGAAGATACTTTGCTTAAAGTGTTGTGCTGCTAAGAAACATCTGATGGTCGTTGAGGGACAAAGTTTTTTTAAATCTACCTTTGATACCATTATCAAGAATAATGGTATCCAAATCAAGGAAGGAGTCAAGTAAGAACACACATCTTGCTCAGAAAAAGCCTAAGGAACAGTCTGCAAAATCTTTTCCCTTGCTAAGAATTGTCCTTTTTGGTTTTCCACCCATGCACCATCCATGTCAGCACCCCCAGCTTTCATCTTAGGCACCTCGGTGTGGGAGGGGGGGTCTTCAAGGATTACAAGCTGGAGGGGCTTTCAGACCGTCCTCAGCTTCTCACCTCCCACCTCCCTGTGCCACCACAAAAATCAGTAGAGCTCCATCAAGCTCTCCCAGGTCTTTTGTGGCCAAACAGCATTGAGCCAGCTTCCTGGCCAATTAGGAAGCCGGGCTGCAAGTCATTAACCTCCACTCGGCTTCATGATTGGCCGGGAAGACCGGGTCCATGTTCCCCTACTAGTATTGGTATCGGTGCATCCCTAATGATATTCATAAGGTCTGCCATTGCTTCTCTTCACCAGGTAGACTGTCTATCTTAAGTAGACATCAAGGATACGTACCTTCATGTCTTCATCTTTCCCGAGGGATTAAGAATGAAGGTTTGCTTATGAAAGAGGTAATTAAAATCGATTTTTGCTTGATTCTGTGTTTCCATACCTGTTGCTTGCATTATTCCCCCAAGAAATCCAGGACGGAACTGAACATCTACATTCCATATATTTTTATATCGGCACATGATCTGGTACAGAGAGAAAAATAACATTTATTTCATACATATTTATATCTTATAACATACTTATTTCATTCCTAAGTGATATCTCAATGCCATGTTCCACGCATGCAATACTTTTTTGTTATACCCAGGACAAATAGAACACCAATTGTATATTTTATCTACAGTAACACTGGTTGCTTTTAAAACTGTCACAAGTAAGGCATTCCTTGAGAGAATTTGGAATAACACGTCACGTACAGCCGATCGCTCAGTTCCCGATCTTCTCCCTGCAGAGAGAGATGACTGTCAGTCACCGTTTCCCACACAGGGATTTCCCCCTCCCCTGTCCGTTTCTCTAGTGCTGACTGGAGGGACGGATGGGAGAGGGGTCGGGCACAGCTGGCTCTGCCTCTAGATCCGTCCCGGCTGCAGTGCGGCTCTGCGCTGTCAGCATATAGCAAACAATAGCCCACTATATGCTGCGTTTTGGGTCACAGGAGGACATTAGTAAATGTCCTCCTGTGACCGTAAAGAGAACTGCGGCCAAAAAAGGTGATAGCTGTACATTTATTATGAATGGACTGGCAACGTACTACAGAGGATGAAAAATGTGTATGGCCCTATTTTAACAATGTGCACCACAACACATACTATATGCATTAAGGGGAGTTTATCAAAACTGGAGCAGGCAGAATTCGGAGCAGTTGCTCGCGGCAACCAATCGGCATCTCTCTTCAGTTTGCTCAGGTAAGATTTGAAAATGAGACAGAGAGGGTTATTGGCTGCAGTGCATATCGGCTTCAGATTTGGTCTGCTCCAGTGTTGATAAATTCCCCTCATTCTGTTCTACTGTACAGTGCACCGGGCTGGCATTCACAATGAATGGCACTGAATGAAATCACAATGATTGCCACTACATTGTACCCCACATAGAGTAGGTTTATTGCCCTGTGTGTGGCAATGCATGTTAACATGTGCGTTTTTTTGCACAATGTCACAACACACAAGTGTGAATGAGCCCATAGACAAGGGTTTCTCTTTTGCTTACAACAGATATAGGTCTTGAATGAACCATCAGAGAGGCATTCGTTTTTTTTAAATAGTAAAGCCAATTCATGATAGTGAGGAGGCTACACTTTTAGGCCTCGTCCACACTAATGTGATTTGTCCTGCGTCTGCTGTTACTTCACAGAAATTACATTATTCTTAATGGTGCCCGTTCAGGTGCACCACTACAGAAATCAGATAATATTAGTCAATATAAGATCAATCTGAGCCAATCACCAATCTGTGTTATGAACTACCCTGATACAGCACACAGTTGTTCAGCGGGTATATACCAAGGTCACACTTGCTGGCATATTTAACATGCAGTATGGTTTTGCTCTAAGCCAGGGGTGGGCAACCTTGGCACTCCAGCTGTGGTGAAACTACAAATCCAATCGTGCCTCTGTCCTTGGGAGTCGTGGCTGTCGGTCTTGCAATGCCTTATGGGACTTGTAGTGCCTCTGCATGATACATTATCAGTCCGGTATAAGCGTGTACCAGAAATACACCCTCAGCCCTGTATAAGCGTGTACCAGAAATACACCCTCAGCCCTGTATAAGCGTGTACCAGAAATACACCCTCAGCCCTGTATAACCGTGTACCAGAAATACACACTCAGCCCTCTATAACCGTGTACCAGAAATACATCATCAGCCCTGTATAACCGTGTACCAGAAATACATCATCAGTCCGGTATAACCGAGTACCAGAGATACATCATCAGCCCGGTATAACCATGTACTAGGAATACATCATCAACCCTGTATAACCGTGTACCAGAGATACATTATCAGCCCGGTATAACCGAGTACCAGAGATACATCATCAGCCCTGTATAACCATGTACCAGAGATACATCATCAGCCCTGTACAACCGTGTACCAGAAATACATCATCAACCTTGTATAACCGTGTACCAGAGATACATCATCAGCCCTGTACAACCGTGTACCAGAAATACATCATCAACCTTGTACAACCGTGTACCAGAAATACATCATCAACCTTGTATAACCGTGTACCAGAGATACATCATCAACCCTGTACAACCGTGTACCAGAAATACATCATCAACCTTGTATAACCGTGTACCAGAGATACATCATCAGCCCTGTATAACCGTGTACCAGAAATACATCATCAACCTTGTATAACCGTGTACCAGAGATACATCATCAGCCCTGTATAACCGTGTACCAGAAATACATCATCAACCTTGTATAACCGTGTACCAGAGATACATCATCAGCCCTGTATAACCGTGTACCAGAAATACACCCTCAGCCCAGTATAACCGTGTACCAGAGATACATCATCAGCCCTGTACAACCGTGTACCAGAAATACATCATCAACCTTGTACAACCGTGTACCAGAAATACATCATCAACCTTGTATAACCGTGTACCAGAGATACATCATCAACCCTGTACAACCGTGTACCAGAAATACATCATCAACCTTGTATAACCGTGTACCAGAGATACATCATCAGCCCGGTATAACCGGAGTACCAGAGATACATCATCAGCCCTGTATAACCGTGTACCAGAAATACATCATCAACCTTGTATAACCGTGTACCAGAGATACATCATCAGCCCTGTATAACCGTGTACCAGAAATACACCCTCAGCCCAGTATAACCGTGTACCAGAAATACACCCTCAGCCCAGTATAACCGTGTACCAGAAATACACCATCAGCCCTGTATAACCGAGTACCAGAAATACATCATCAGCCCGGTATAACCAGGTACCAGGAATACATCATCAGCCCTGCATAACGGTGTACCAGAAATACACCATCAGCCCGGTATAACCGAGTACCAGAAATACACCCTCAGCCCTGTATAACCGTGTACCAGAGATACACCCTCAGCCCTGTATAACCGAGTACCAGAAATACACCCTCAGCCCTGTATAACCGTGTACCAGAGATACATCATCAGCCCTGTACAACCGTGTACCAGAAATACATCATCAGCCCTGTACAACCGTGTACCAGGAATACATCATCAGCCCTGTACAACCGTGTACCAGGAATACATCATCAGCCCGGTATAACCAGGTACCAGGAATACATCATCAGCCCGATATAACCGTGTACCAGGAATACATCATCAGCCCGGTATAACCAGGTACCAGGAATACATCATCAGCCCTGTACAACCGAGTACTAGAAATACACCCTCAGCCCTGTACAACGGTGTACCAGAGATACATCACCAGCCCTGTACAACCGTGTACCAGAGATACATCATCAGCCCTGTACAACTACGTACCAGAAATACACCCTCAGCCCTGTATAACCGTGTACCAGAAATACACCATCAGCCCGGTATAACCGTGTACCAGAAATACACCATCAGCCCGGTATAACCGTGTACCAGAAATACACCCTCAGCGCTGTATAAGCGTGTACCAGAAATACACCCTCAGCCCTGTATAACCGTGTACCAGAAATATAACATCAGCCCGGTATAACCGTGTACCAGAAATACACCATCAGCCCGGTATAACCGTGTACCAGAAATACACCATCAGCCCTGTATAACCATGTACCAGAAATATAACTTAAATCCTGTATACCCATGTACCAGAAATACATAATCAGTCCTGTATACCCATGTACCAGAAATACAACATCAGTCCTGTATAACCGCATGCAAGGACACATTGCTTGGTTCTACCGTATGTACTCTGCAAAGTGTTATGTACAATATTTTCACTTAGCACAGACAAGACAAGAATAACATTCTGATCCGTGAGTTGTTGTTTCTGATACTCCACTTCTGCACAAAAACAAACAAAAACAAAGAGCAATCAGAAATAGTTCTCCAGTAAAGTTTTAAAACAGATGAATCGGTCCCTGGGTGTCACTGCTCTATGTACACCATCTTATACACAAAGAGTCTAGGACTAGGAAAAAGGTGACTATTTGGAAGACGAGTCAGGACGATGAATGCAATCTGGGAAATCATAAGCTGGCCATACACACATTGAGATTTTCCCCCATCATTGCTAAGCTGCATGGAGGGAGGAATCTCCTGAGCACCCATCGCTTCCTGCACACCCAAACAGTGTCCGCATCTGTTCAGCTTTCCATTTTTAAATGGACTTTTTGCAGGACGGCGGCCCACATGGCCACCCTGGGCTTGAATTTCAGCAGGAATCAGCCAAAATATGAGTTGTCTATGGTCAGTTGTATGGGGAGAACAGACAGTGGCAGCAGTCATCATTTGATCGAACAAAAGCAGAGCAGGCTGCAAACTAGCTGTGCACTCCCCACCGTATTTCCACATTGTACAGTACACAGGAACATAGAATGAATGGTTTAATTTCACGTGCTGCAACCCAGGGGTGAGCAACTCCAGCCCCCCAGCCATGCTTTAACTACAAATCCCAACATGTCTCTGGGAGTCATGTCTGTAACTTTCAGTCTTGCAATGCCTCATGGGACTTGTAGTTCCACAACAGCCGGAGGGTTGAAATTGCCTACCTCTGCTCTAACCCGTGTCTGTCTCTACACAGTCTGCGAGTGACTCTTCTCTCTTCCTGATTACTTACTATTGTTCTGGGACATACCAACAAACAAAGCATGGAGGGGGAAACTGATTTAAAGGAGGAAGTAAGACAGATGATATCTGTAAAGTGCCCCATACATGACAAGCAGAGCAATATCACCCTGCTTTCCTATAATGTCCCTGAGAAGTCGGTTCACCCTTGCTCTACTTGCACAGGACGCATTCCATTCAGCCAGACTGGCAGCAGGCGGACAATTCTAGGATACAATTGCTGGAAACAAAGAGCAGATTTGTGAATTGTAACATTCCTTGCAGGTCTAAGTATCCAGCTATATGCAGACTCTCACCTCAAACCCCAGCCAGGAATATGAGGAGACCACATCATAGAAGAGCTCCAGCACACGTCCCTTAGACATGTCTACTCTCTCTGCAAGTCAGAGTGCATTGTGGGCAATGAACAAAGTTTCCTCTGGTTATTGTCTGACCTTGTGCCTGCTGCCATCTGCTGCTGACTGCGCTGACTGCAGCATGAAGGAAGGCGTGTAGGCTTCCCCTGCATGTGTACACATGGGTCCCTCTTCTCACACTCAGTGGGGACATGTAATATTGCATTATTCATTAACCATTTGCTGTCCGGAGCATTTTCTTACTATTTGAGCACACATGATCAAATATAATATTTTTTAGGGCTGGTAATGATTAAATTTTTCGTGTTCGATTAATCAAATTTAGTGACGTTGATGTCCGCGACGTCACCGGATCGCCGACGGGACCCCCGGAAGCCGGCGGAGAGGTGAGTGTTTTCATTAGCGATCAAAATAATTTTAATCGATCAAAAAGTTTAACGATTAATCGAGAAATTAATCTTTAATTTCCACAGCCCTAATTTTTTTGGCTACAAAACAACTTAAAACCCCCAAACAAATATATTTTCTGAAAGCAGAGGTCCTGTAGAATAAAAAAATGATAGTTGCAATGTTTTAAGTCACACGGTTTTTGCGCAAATGTTTATCAAACAAGTATTTTTTGGAAAAAATAAACTAAATTAAAATATAGTGCGCAGCAACATAATATAATGCCCATTTTTTTTGTAAAATATGATGGGGTCACGTCGGGTAAATAGATACCAAACACGTCAAGCCTTATAGCATTCGCCCGTGAAGCCGCCAAAAAATTCAATACCCAAAATTCCACATAGGGAACACTTTAACCGTTTTTACCGCTCATTAGTTTAGTGCTAACAGTGATTGATGGACCTAGAATTATTAATCTCACTCCGACGTTGGCGGCAATATGTAACATGTATAGCGTAATTGTCATTTTCACACGTAGGTGCACCGACATGTGTATGTGCGTGCATGTGGGGGGCGGGGGACTTTTTGCATTTTTGTATTTTTCTTATATGTTACTTTCATTTTTATAATTTGTAAACACTTTTTTTTTTACACTAACTCTATTGCTAACAAGCCCCCTATGTAACAGCAGATAGGGTGTGACAGGTCCTCTTTATGGAGAAATCAGGGGTCTTTCAGACCCCTAATGTCACCTAGGGACCCCAAAGAAGCTGAGGAAGCAGAGATCTCCTTCCCCAGCTTCATCTCCTGGCTCTAAGAGCCGGAGACTGTAACAAGTGACACCGGAAGTGATGTAATACACATCACGTACGGGTCCAGTGATCGGAGGAGAGATCAGCGGAATGAAGCCGCTGACTCTCACTCCGATCCTTGCAGGGGGACCCACTGCGCCGCACCCGTGTGCCGCACAGGGACAGAAGTGCCCAGGAAAGCCGACGGCGGACGCTGCAGCAGCCGTGTTCTTGTATTAACCACTTCTGCGGGCTGCCGTCTACAGACGTATTGTGGCCCGTAAGTGGTTAATGTGTTAAAGTGCTAGCGTGAATCTTTGGGGTTGTTTTACGAACAAAGTGACAGATTTAGTTCTCAGGAATTGTGCGGTCAAATGCTGATGGGTACATTTATAAAAGTGAACACTGAGTAGATGCCATTCACACAGCACTAGCGCTCCTAGATGGCACTTACAAACACTAGCCAGCACCATCTAGGGCAGGGGTGGACAAACTGTGGCCCTCCAGCTGTGGTGCAACTACAAATCCCATGAGGCATTGCCGGACTCTGACACCCACAGGTAGGACTCCCGGAGGCAGATGCATGATGAGATTGGTAGTTTTACCACAGCTGGAGGTCTGGAGTTTGCCCACCCCTGATCTAGGGGCTTTCTAGAACTTTTATGAATGAATCCCTAACTGGGGATACACAGATACCAAGTACCGTACTTGGTACAAGTCAGGGACGTGCAGTCCGGGGAGGCAGGTGAGGCAGAACCTCACCTAGAATTATGGAGGAAAAGGCTGTCAGCTTCATGTCTGAAGATGACAGCTTTTTCTCCATTCAGATCGGCATCTAACAGGTTACACAGCAGGGAAATCCTCCCCACTATGTAACCTGACATGGACGGAGCGCCTCAGCAGTAAGGAGCAAGTGAGGGACAGGGAGCTTCGTCCGGTGGGGGCGGAGCTTCAGTCGGCAAGGACGACGGGGGCGGGGAAATGCCTCACCCGGGGCAAGAGGTACCGCACGTCACTGGTACAAGTACTGATACTTCTCTGTCTCCAAGACTATACTAGAGATAAACTCAAAAGTTAGGAGGTAGCTGTCATTTTTCCAGACCAAGTACAAGTATTGATACCTTTTTTATTGTCATGTGACAGTTTTTCTAAAACAATACAGACTAATGATTTCAGGACAGTGGTGAAGCACCATGGCCCAGCCGGAGCTGCAACCCCTGCAACCTTAGTAGTTCTTGTGAAAATGCCAAGTATCGCCACTGGTATCTGCACTGGTATCTGAACATCCCTACCCCTAACTGTCTTTCTCCTGCTATAGCTGCAAGCACCTCTTTTGGCAGTGAAGGTGGAATTAAAGTCTGTCTGCTTTCTGCCATAGCAACTTCTACCTGCCTGTCAGCAATTTTTTTCTTTGAACTGAGCCGTACATAAGCAACTTGAAGTAACTCCCATGTGCATGCGCAGAACTTACATCATCTTGGCCCAGGCAATCAAAATGGTCAAAGACGCTGAACCCAGAAGAAGACCAAGGTGAAAGTTGCAGTTAGCACTTACTTGACATGTGAACTGCCAAAAAATTTGTTTAGTTTTGTTTCGTTTTAAATTCGGATTTGTGTTATTTCGTTTTTCGGGATTCGGGTGTGAAAGTCGATTCGGAATTCGGACGAAATTCGTTAGCGGTAGTTCGTTCGAACGTTCGTTTCGTTTTCGGTTCTTATTCGGTTCGTACATTCGTTCGTTCGTTTGCAGCAAAGTGACATTTGAGGGGGAAAATATTTTTCTCCAACGAACGAAACGAATAAGAAACGAAAACGAACGTTTGAACGAGCTACCGCTACCGAATTTCGGAAACGGAAATTCGGATTTGTTTGCATTCGTTATATCTGTAATTCGGAATTCGGATACATCCGAATGTCAGAATTTCTGAAAATTCGTCCGAATTTCGATTCGGAACGAAACGAATCGCACATGTCTAGCACTTACCTCTCTCCCGCCCGAGGAATGTCCCTCAGCGTCCTCATGTCTCATGCAACTCGATGGACCTGCAATATACATGATGAAAAGCTTTGCACACAAAGCTGCAAGAAATGTAGTTTAGAGATTATCAAATAAAACTTAAACATACAGCATCAATTGCAGATAATGTTATATGATCCTTACCTACCTTCAGCTCACCTGTGTTTTGTCTCTGAGTGGTTCTCAGATTAAAAAAAGGTTAGGGACCCTAAAATATCGCTGATATCTCTTGGGAACAGAGCTATTCCCCCTTTTGTACTATTGTGAGCAAGTGGATTTAAAATTACATTAAAGTCACCCCCCCAAATTCTGCTTTGAGGACTTACCTTAAATGATGCCTCTTGATCCAATCATATTCTTCTTTCCAGTAGGTTTATGCCATCATTGTCCCTGTACACCCCTCCCCACACACACACACACACACACATATCACCCAGGGAACGGCAATATCTGGTTGTTGTACAGGGGCAATGAGGGCATGCTGGGACTTGTAGTTCCCTAGCTGATATGTTATGAAGCTGTATTCCACCTGAAAGTACTACAATGCCATTATAGAACTAAGAATAGAACATAAAATAAAACTTTTTTTTTTTTCTAATACTCACCTGATTCCTGGATCCAACAAGCGCAGCCTCCCGTCTCCCATGCTGTTAGAAGTTGCATACAGCGTGTGCTGGTTACTACTTAAACCGGCGCACGCAGTGTGCAGCTTCTGAGAAGACACGCTATTAGCATAGCCCGGAAGGCGGCTGCGCATTTTGCATCGCCCCCGCTACGCTAATAGCGTATCTTCTCAGAAGCTGCACACTGCGCTGAGGGATTTGGTTCAGAATGAGGGACAGTTGGGAGGTATGCATTGTCTGGTTATGTGGATTGAAAAAAGTTCATTTTACTTGTTTTTCTGAAAAGGAAACAAATTACTTTTGTAGTTTTTGTTTTTTTTAAACTCAGAGACAGCACAAGGTATTGACACACAGATTGCCGCTTGGAGGTTGCATTTGGCCTTGCTAATCTTATTGTACATCATTAATATGATTCTCTTGGGATAGAGAAGTAGAAGCTGCAGCTTAAATAAAAGGTGCACTTGAAAACAAGATAACAGACTAACAGACTGTTGATGTTACAGACTGTTGATGTGGGAAAATTAGTCTGATAGTAGAAGTAAAATACAAAGTGCAATAACCTAGAGTCCTAGATTAACCCAGATAGACAAGACCGGATTTATCCATCTACTATTCTAGAGATGATTAACAATCATAAACCTGAGGGACTTTACTCTTTTTTCAAACGTAACAAAATGAATATATATGTATTACCGGTATTGATTGCTATGAAATGCAAATATAATTTCATTATTAAAGGAAACCTAGAGCTATGTGGAGGTTGTCATTGCTGACCTCTCCTTCTAAAATTATCCCCCAAGCTGTCTCTGCTTTAAATACCTTTTGAATTAGTGACCTGAATGAGCACGCAGCTACTGAAGGTGGGGAAAAGTCAGAACCTGGGGGGGCCCAGCACAGATGGTGGGACTTGCCAGCCGCCGGATCGGTATCCAGCGGCCGGCGGGCTATGTGATTGGGGGCTAAGGAGATGTGATTGAAGGAGGGCTGTGGAGATGTGATGGGGGGCTGCGGAGATGTGATCAAGGGGGCTGAGGAAATGTAGCAGGTAAAAAAGTAGCAGTGTAAATAAATCATTAAAATAATTATTATTTGTAGCCTAATGTTGTATAAAGTGCTGTTGCAGCAATGCAGAATGGCTCCCTCTACAAATCTCAGCAGTACTTTATACAGAAATGCCATTGTTATATAAAGTATTGCTGGAATGTGTAGTTCTCTATAGCCT